TACAGCATTTCAAATAAAGAAAATCCTCAGATATATTCTTGCAAATAAATTAATTACTAACTTAAATTTTACTGATCAGAGGAATAGTTAATAAGTCTGCCTGCATTTAAAAATCAGCAATTGACGGTTTATTGACGTAAGACGTTTTTAAACATTTTATTTGATAATCTGTAAGACACATGTATACATTATTAAATAATAATTCTCTCGTCTTAGGTACAGTTCCGAGTAGATCTTCAGCTCTTGCAGAAGATATTGAAAATTCTGTTAAGATTTGCCCAACGATCGATATCAACAACGATCAGTTATATTTTTAAAAAGAATTTGTTTAGATGATAATGTAATTTTGGACATTGTTATTGAAAATGAGAACGATGATCCCACCTATATCCAGGGTATAATATTGTATATTATACTATTCAATATGTTACGTATTATTTATCTAATGTAATATTAATAATATAAAATTTACAAATTTATGATATTATATTTACCACAATAATTCATACGATGTTTTGCAATTGTAAATCTAAAACTCCGACATAAGTTCTAAAAAACTTACAAATGGAGATTATATTATTAAATAATTTATTATCAAATAATATAATCTATTCGTATGTCTCGTTTTTGAAATTTTAAATTATAAATTTTAAATTATAAATAATTCAGATTTAAGCTAAAAACATAAATTTAATATTAAAAATTATTATAATGCTAAATTTAGATTACATTTATATATTTATTGTATCATGTATTATATTTAAATATATATTAAATTTAAGTTACTTGGAATTTATTCTATATAATATTATATAAATTTATTTAATAATTAATTAACTATTAATAATTAATTATTATTTAACAATTAATTTGAAATTTTTATATTTAGATCTTACGTCGGAATTAAACATTTACAAACATTTACACGCAAAACATCGTGTAAATTATTGTGGTTAACAAATTTTTTCGTTTTTATCATACTAAATTTTATTACATTACATTTATTCATACTATCATTAATTATACTATCATTATTATACTGTCATTATTGTGCTATCATTATTTGTTCATACTATCATTATACAGTTGCTCTCAAAGTATAATGTTATTATTGATATGATATTCAATATTTAATGTAATTAATATATAGCATTTTTGGTATGAAACTTAAATTTTTAAATTTAAACTTTTAATTTATAAATTTCTGATAAAAATAAAGATAATATCATTAAATATTGATATTATATTACATAAACATTCATGTATAATATATTTATAATATATAACATATTATTTATTTTAATATACTTCATAATATATTATACATAATATTTATTTTAATGTATACTATACTATTAATTTATAATATATAATATAATAATACATTGTACAAAATCGAATAAAAAAATCAAATTTGATAAAATTTACATAAATATTCATGTATAATATATTTATAATATATAACATATTATAATATATTTATAATATATAACATATTATTATTTATTTTATTATATTTCATAATATATTATACTATTTATTTTAATGTATACTATACTATTAATTTATAATATATAATATAATAATACATTGTACAAAATCGAATAAAAAAAATTTTACCAAATTTGATTTATTCTATACGATAAAAATTAATTGAGGTATAAGTATACAGATCCTGCTGTAAAATATTTTGTATAAATGTGTAAAAGTTATGTTGTCTTACTTAATTTTCTCACAAACAGTTATAAATCCAGAATAATTTTTTGTCTGAAATAATTTTGAAATCAGAATTTTAATTGTATCTTAAGCAGGTTTCGGAAAATTTTAATATTCATTTTAGTTCTCTCAAATTTATGTATTTTTTTATTTTGAATTATTTTAATTGTCAGATATAGAATATTGATTTTTATGCATTATTGCCTTAATAAATTAAACTTATAACGAGCTATAATAACTTATTCAATATATAATGTATACACGTAGAGTAAGAAGTGTAATTAAACAAATAGTGATGAAAAATTTGAAATCGATTTCAAATTGTTAGAATTAAATTTGATGAATTCTAATTTGATATTTCGAAAAAGATCAAAGCGATAAATATTTCAAGAAATTCTAATATTTGCACTTTGATAAAAGAGCGACAAGAAATCATAAGTTTTAAAGGATTCTTATGAAGTTTTCGAAAACTATGGAAAAATTTAATTTTTATTTTAAAAAAATTAATTTCAATTAAAATTTAATTACGAAAAAGATATTTCAATATTTCGTTTGAATCTTGTTACAATTCTTTCAAAATCTTTTAAAACTCAGGAATAAAAGTATGTTTACTTTCTCGCTCGTTAAATGATCTAAAGAAATGTTTGAAAAACATAAACTTAAGACTATCAAAGTCAAACCGTTACAGTATATGAGAATTTAATATGAGAATTTAAAAAACGTACATATATACAATATAATAATACTAAATATTAAAAATGAGAACAGTACAAGGGTGCATATTATAAATTAATTTATTATATTTGTAAATTTATTAGATTTATAAATTTATAAATACACGTGTGCAATGTATATAAATAAAATTCAAATATAAATAAATTTATATTATTATGGTTTGTTTTGATTTATAGAGAAAAATTGTTAGTCAAACGTTCGTTGCAAAGTCGTTTGTTGTAAGATATAAGAATTATAAGAAATTTAAAAGTATGCGAAAATATACAAAATGGATGTAATGTAAAAATAAAGAGAGATAATTGAAATAAATATTTGCTTGAATATCAATCCTCGAATTGACAAAATTATTATTCTGAAATAATATTTAAACAAATAAGATACTAATAATATTTTATAATATTTTTAATATTTCATTCAGTCAATATCCAAGCAGATTTTTAAACAAATATATAATAAGAGG